TGGTGTGTGTGTGTGTGTGTGTGTGTGTTGTGTGTGTGATGTGTGTGTATGTGTGGTGTGTGTGTGTGTGTGTGTGTGTGTGTGTGTGTGTGTGTGTGTGTGTTGTGTGTGTGTGTGTGTGTGTGTGTGTGTGTGTGTGCGTGTGTTGTGTTGTGTGCGCGTGTGTTCATATAACCAAAGAAGGATATCGAGGTAAGGATATTTGGGTAGCTTTGTGTACCTTGAATAATGGCTGGGTCAGAGCATCGTTCGTGCTTGCCTCATAATCTGTATTTAGACTCATATTATGGTTCAGAAACGTGTTTATACTGAGCAGAGGAGAGTTTTTGCTTGCTTGTGGTCTGTGACGAAGGAGATGAGAAATACACAGAAGGTATTAAAGAGTGATTAAAGAAGAAATCGGAGAAGGGGGAGAAAGAGTGATAGAAAGGGAAGAGAGTGAATTCCCGTGTGAGTGACTGGGTATGTGCACGGGTGTGAGAGGAAAATAGAGGGAGTTAGATAGGTAGATGGATAGATAGAGATAGATAGATAGACGGACAAATAGGTAAATAGATTGATAGGAAGACAGATAGATAAACAGGGAGAGAGATACATAGACTGACATAAATATATATACATATACGTATGTATAAACACGCACACACATACACTCACACACACACACACACACACACACACACACACACACACACACACACACACACACACACACACACACACACACACACACACACACACACACACACACACACACACACACACAACACACAACACACACACACACACACACACACACACACACACACACACACACACACACACACACATATATATATTATATATATATATTAATATTATATAGAGAGAGAGAGAGAGAGAGAGAAGAGAGAGAAGAAAGGAGAGAGAGAGAGAGGAAGAGAGAGAAGAGAGAGAGAGAGAGAGAGGAGAGAGAGAGAGAGAGAGAGAGAGAAGAGAGAGAGAGAGAGAGAGAGAGAGATAGAGATAGAGAGGAGATAGAGATAGAGATAGAGATAGAGATAGAGATAGAGGATAGAGAAGAGAGCGAAAGATAGATAGATAGATAGATAGATAGAGAGAGAGAGAGAGAGAGAGAGAGAGAGAGATAGAGATAGAGATAGAGATAGAGATAGGATAGATAGATAGATAGATAGGTAGATAGTATAGAGAGAGAGAGAGAGAGAGAGAGAGAGAGAGAGAGAGAGAGAGAGAGAGAGAGAGAGAGAAGAGAGAGAGAGAGAGAGAGAGAGAGAGAGAGATGGATAGATAGATAGATAGATAGAGAGAGAGAGAGAGAGAGAGAGAGAGAGAGAGAGAGAGAGAGAGAGAGAGAGAGAGAGAGAGAGAGAGAGAGAGAGAGAGAGAGAGAGAGAGAGAGAGAGAGAGAAGGGGATTCCTCCGCAGGGAACGCCTCTCCCAGGAATAGGACATGCAACCGTGTGCTGTCGCGTGTCATGAGTGCGGGCCTGGCAGGGGTCAGGCGCAGGCACGTGATGCAACTGCGCAGTAGACGGGTTTCTGGGGTCAGCTTGCACGGTTGCCTTTGACCCTGAGGATGTCAACAGGTAATCTAATTGTCAGTGTCAAAGATTGTGTTACCTGTACCGGTTCGTTGGTCCCGTTTACACGGTAATATAGTCAAGGCAGAGCGCAGTAAAAAGCGAGCAGTGAAGGCTGGGGAAAAGTTTAGGGGGAGTGAATAATGTTAATAAGCATGTGACGGAAAGCTTCAACAAGAAAAGAAAAAAAAAACTACTAGCATATATGCATATATATACATACATACGTACATGGATACATACATGCATATATATACAATCACACACATACACACACACACACACACGCACACGCACACACATGAATGTGCCAACGGCTTAGCTGACTTGTTGTCATAGTCAAAGCAGGTCTGCGTTGAAAGTGATCTTTGACTTACAGCAACAAACAAAGTCAAAGTCAAGAAACAATATCTGTATGACGCAAATTCTCAAGCTTCAGCCTCAGTATCTTAAGGAAGCTGTTATCTCGCCGATAATTTCTTTGACGTAAAAGCCTTTTATGTCAACTCGCTTTATCTTTTCTCCCGAGAGTTAAGATAGAGAGTCTCGGTGTGAAATCAAGTCGGACTGAAGTCTTACGTGGGCTCGAAGTCAAATGAATGTGTTCGGACGCATGTAGGAAAATGGGGAACAGAAGTTGGATTTACTTTTTGATCCTCGCGTGTATCGTTTACGCACACACGCATACACACGCACGCACACACACACACACATACACACGCACACACACACACACACACACACACACACACACACACACACACACACACACACACACACACACACACATACACACACACACATACACGTATACAAACATATGCACACACACACACACACACACACACACACACACACACACACACACACACACACACACATGTACACATACACATATACAAACATATGCACACACACACACACACACACACACACACACACACACACACACACACACACACACACACACACACACACACACACACACACACACACACACACACACACCACAAAGGATATCCGTTCCCAAACTGATGTATATATATCTTTCTTTCTTACAATGGGAAACGTGTTTCTTATTATCTCCGTTGTGTGTCTTTCTTAAAAATAGAACGAAAGGAAGAACGTAAAATGAAACTCGATAGCCAAGTTTCCCACGAAAGTGATTCTGAAGGTAGTGACTGCGGTGACTTCAGGAACGAGAGACTTCTATAGACTTCAGGAACGAGAGACTTCTAGGACTTCAGGAACGAGAGACTTCTATAGACTTCAGGAACGAGAGACTTCTATAGACTTCAGGAACGAGAGACTTCTATAGACCAGAGTAGAAAACTTGATCCCTGTCTCCATTTAGAAAAAAATATATATATAATCTTATTCTGAATTTCGAACAGAAAATGTATTTTCATTCATTGACTTACTTGGAATATTTCAGCTTCTTTTGCTCATGAAACAGAATCTTTCAGCTCATTCTGGATCTAAAAGGGAATAGTTTACTTCATTCTCAAACTAGAATAGACAAATCCAGCTCATTTTTAACCCAGATAGACTAATCCAGTTGATTATCCACCAAGAGCAGCCTAATCCAGCTAATTCTTCATCAAAAGTAGACTAACCCATCTTATTTTCCACCTTGAATAGAGTAATCCATCTCATTATCGACCTGGGATAGATTAATCCAGCCCATTCTCCAACGTGAATAAACAAATCAAGCTCATTTTCAACCTGGAATAGACAAATCCATCTCATTCTTCACACAGGATAGATAAATCCATCTCAGTTTCTCAAATCCATCTCATTCTCCATAGATAAATCCATCTCATTCTCCTCCTTAATTAGACAAATCCTTCTCATTCTCAAATTAGACGAATCCACCTCATTCTCCACCTAGGGTAGACAGGCCCGCCTCATTATCCGGCCAGACGCGTGGCTCCGAGTCCCCCTTCTTATCCGCCGGTGACGTGGTTCGCGGCCTTAACATTGACTGGTGTTTTATTGCTTGGATTGCACTATATCATGTCAAGTGATAATTAAAACGTTCTTTTTGCTGCTAGTTTTATATAATTTTTACTTTGGAGATCATGTCTTAATCCAATTTCGTTGTTATTCATTAATTTAGAGGAGCATTTGCGTGTATTTATGTAGACTAATTGAAACGATTACATCTAAGCCCAATTTCCATATGATTTACTAATCATTAAAAGTAGGTATCTCTGACGCGTTCACTTCTTGAATTTATTATTATTTTGTTCTCGTAAATCTTCGCCTTGTTCATTTTCTTCTCATTTTTTGTATATATTTTTCCTTCTATATTACTAGTCCATCTCTGTCTCCTTCATTTTAATATTCTTTTTTCTTTTTTTCTATTTTTCAGTTATCTTTTATTATTTCGTCCACACTTACGTTCATTTCCTTCACCTTCCATTTCTTATTATTACTATTTTCTTTGTCGTAGCTTCTTACGAGTCTTAAGGGTAGAGAGAGTCGTTAACGGACATAACGACTTTCTCAGTTTAAATTCAAATCATTCACAGCAGGATGGAGGCCAGGGACTATTAGATAATGTCACAGTGAAAGCCGAGGACGGGGCACTTTTATTCAATCTTTATTTATTTATCTATTCTAATTTTTCTTCCTTCGTTTTTTTCTCTCTCAGAGCATATTATTTTCCACTCTCGTTTTTTCTCCTGTTTATTTTTATTTTCTTTTTCTCTTCCTCCTCTTCTTCTTCCTCTCTTTCTCTCTTCTTCTTCTTCTCCTTCTCCTTCTCCTTCTCCTTCTCCTTCTCCTTCTCCTTCTCTCCTTCTCTTCTTCTTCTTCTTCTTCTTCTTCTTCTTCTTCTTCTTCTTCTTCTTCTTCTTCTTCATCTTCTTCTTTCTTCATCTTCATCTCCATCTTCTTCTTCTCCTTCTCCTTTACTACTTTGTATCAGTGAACAAGGTCTGGTCATGGTAGCGATGATGGACAGAACATTAATTTAGGGAGGATAGGGAGAAGAAGGACAGCTGCAAAGTAGAACAAGGTGAAGCAAATAAAAATAAATATGGGTTTAGAGTGAGAAAGTGCGTGATAAAGTAGCGGGTGAATTGCAGGTGTTTGTGCTCTGAATTTGTGTGCGTCTCTCCGTTTGTATATTTGTGTGCGTTTAAGTGTGTGTGTGTGTGTGTGTGTGTTGTGTGTGTGTGTGTGTGTGTGTGTGTGTGTGTGTGTGTGTGTGTGTGTGTGTGTGTGTGTGTGTATGTGTGTGTGTGTGTGTGTGTGTGTGTGTGTGTGTGTGTGTGTGTGTGTGTGTGTGTGTGTGTGTGTGTGTGTGTGTGTGTGTGTGTGTGTGTGTGAGAGAGAGAGAGAGAGAGAGAGAGAGAGAGAGAGAGAGAGAGAGAGAGAGAGAGAGAGAGAGAGAGAGAGAGAGAGAGAACCATGATGGCAAGATCGAGAGTGAGAGTGAGAGAGTATTGATAAAAAGGGAGGGCCAATGAGGACCATGACAAGGTCAAACGAGAATATCACTCATGTGTGTGTGCTTGCAATCGTATTCCTGTGCTTTTGTGTCCGAATAAAAATAATGACAACAAAAACAACAACAACGGCAATTGACAGAAATACTAAAGTTCCCAAATCAGATGTAAACAAAACGAAAAAAAGAAAAATAAATCGATGGTCTATTTAAACACTTTTCCTTTGTCATAAAAAAGGTAGATGCTGGTACCGCCATTATCAAGACAGGTAAAACATGTTATCTAAGTTCCTGGAGGACAATATATGATCAAAAAAAGAGAAGAAAAAAGAAAAACGAGAGAGAAAAAAGTCGAACTACTTCTAACATTAACTTTACGCTTCCGTTCTGACAGGAAAAAAGCGGCAACCATCGCCATACTTGCCAGGCCACTTTTTCTCAGCGAAAGTAACAATATAACTCGCGTTAAGTCATCTTTAATAGCGCTTGCTCTATCTTTCAATTATATTCTCTCTATGGTTTGGTATTATTGTCGTCCGTATTTTATTATTATTTTTTTTAAACACACACACACACACACACACACACACACACACACACACACACACACACACACACACACACACACACACACACACACACACACACACACACCACACACACATATACGTACTAGGAAGGTTGGTAATACATATACAGTGCACTATACATATACTCGCCTAAACTATAAACATATAACTCTTCATAACACTCTGTGTCAACATAAATTTTGAAAATAATTTTGATGTCTACCTAAAGCACTCGCGACACATATTTCTTAACAGTGAGAAGTCTCTCAAAGCAAGCCACTTTATCACTTAAAATTCATGTCGGAAACTTAGGAGAAACTTTTATGGTGTCCTTTAATGTCCTCCCCCCCCCCCCCCCCAAGATGAAACTCTCCAGACATCTCTGATTTATTCTGTAGGAATAAGCCTAAATTTCTTAACACACACACACACACACACACACACACACACACACACACACACACACAACACACACACACACACACACACACACACACACACACAACACGGATTGACACCTTCATAGTCTCCAGTTGAAGATTAATATATATATATATATATATATATATATATATATATATATATTATATATTCTTTTTATGTTAATCAATCTAGTTTTCGCATTAAACAGTAATCTTGGTCATCTGTCAGCCACTGTCCATGATCTGCCACAGGTGAAAAGGGAAAGGACTAATTTTGGGGTTAGACTGCGCTTCATTCAGTGATATTTTCAGTGGACTGCTTAAGAGGAACAAATTAATATCTGTCAATTTACCAATCAATCCGCCAATCAGTCTTCTATCCATCTATTTACCTCTTTGTCCGTTTACCTGTCTATATACCTATATATGCATTAATATAATTCTTGCTTCAGCTTTTGTCATGACACTCTATGCCACGCCCTTCCTCTACAACTACCAACGAGCCACGCCCTACTTCGGTTTTATACTAATTTTTCATCGCAAAAATCGTTAATTTCTTTACTTTCCGCAATGAAGGGGCAATTCCTTTTATTACATACGTTCCCCCCTCTCGCCTCCAAACGCGTTATGATATAAATACACACACGCCAATACAACCATGCATCCACCCTCACACACAAAAGAAATCTAACTGCACATAACACATAGTTTAACGTGAACAATCACCGATTTCATCTTTCAGCAACTATTGTACATAATTCTCTCGTTCTTTGTCTTAAACCGACCTTTTTTTCCTCCCACAGACATCTGGTTTCCTGGAGGTGCTGGTGCAGTATTCCCAGATCGAAGACGTGCACGTGGTAGTCCCCTGTGGCACCTCTGGACACAAATACTGCGTCAGAGTTATCGTCAGGAACGGGGCTCTCCTCCTACAGGTAGGTGTAAAGATATGGAAGAGGCCGTATTTTATGTTGTCAAATGGTACGTCGCTTGGTAAACAGAAATGCTTGTGACAGTTTATTTGTCAACTTATAGTATGAAATGTAAGTGGGTATAGGTGATTAGATATAACTAGATATGAAGATATAAACACACATTCACATATATAAATAGATAAGCAGATATATAGATTGATAAATATACAGCGTATATGTATATGGGCAACTATACAAGTTTTTATTTTATGTAGGCCTACGTCAGTTTTTTTTCTATATCTAGGCCTATGGTCACGTCCTTTTCAAAAAAGTTTAGGCCTAGCAATGAAATTTGTATTCTTCTTTTATCATGGAAATAAGCGGCAAAAAGTCATATGCTAATGAGCATGTGACGTAAATACACACACACACACACACACACACACACACACACACACACACACACACACACACACACACACACACACACACACACACACACACACACACGCACACACGAAAAAGGGATACGGATTTAGATTTTAGTTTACATGTGAATGA